TTATTTGCTTACCGATGGCGTAATTTCTCATACATGTCTCGTGTGAATACCCGGCTAACCAGAATTGTGGCCTAAATGCATATATGATAATTATATAAAGCATATTATCATGCTAATATTACTTATTACGCAAATATACACTTTATATATGCAAAACATTTATGACCATTATATGAAAAGAAATATCTTATGAATTGTTTTTGATTTTTATGCAAAAATCATATTATCTTTTATACGAGTTATGAAAATATTCTACAAAAATATTCTGCATTTTAAAGTTATATTTTTTATTTGAGTTTTATATTTATGCAAATCATTTGTATAAAATATAATAACTTAATATATTTAATCAAAAGTTAACGAAAATGCAAATGAATTATAATTTTTTTAGAAAAATAACAAAAAACTAATTCTTTATACAAACGACCAAATTATCCAAAATAAGCCAAAGTTTTATATGATTTTTGCATTTTCTTAAACAAATAAAATACTGAATTAATTTTGCAGAATCTCTTAAATATAATATAGATATCAATTTAAAATAAAATAACATAATATAATTTAATTACATAAGTAATATATTAAGTTACCGATTGCCTAACACTACAATAACAATAATTCTAGATTAATATTTGCAATATTAAATTAAAACTAATAATAATAATTAAATTAATAAATATAAATCGCTTACAGATGTAAGTAAGGAGTGATGTAAAACTCTTTCCACGAGAGGATCACTGTTTTCATATTGTGTGACACTATTTGCAAATTCAAACAACACATTACAATACACTCTCGTATCATAAAATCAGATCAATTGTATATAATCAGGGTATAAATCAATAGGTAATCTCTACTTCATTAGACATTCACATAAACACAAACACAATGTATGAATAAACAAGTAGTGTCGGCGAGACTGTCGGTGCCCTTACGTGACATAATGTCTATATGACATGTTTGGGTGTCGTGAGGAAATTTGGCGAAATCCATATCACAGCTCAACTGTAGTGATACCCTATTATCACGAATAATACAATAAAGTTACATGTTATTGTTATACAATTGTTATACAACTTTCATTTAATATAATTATAAGCATTAATAATGATTATAAGAATAATTTTCTTGTAAAATAATAATTGATAATTGACTTAAACAAGTGCGCGAAGTTTTATCGAAAGACATTCATGAATTATTTACTACAATTTCTATGAAAAACATACTACAGGTCGATTAAAATTCATTAAAATGTTAAGCACAGAATATTCTATACTGCAATATCTTACATCCCACTAAACATAAACCCATTTTCAACACAAAAGGATCTAGATATTAAAATGTGAGTTCTGTACCCTAAAGGCTTATACATTCCTTTAGGCATATCTATTGTGAAGAATTCATTTATTTACACACAAGAAAAATTTATTATAATTTTTTTGTGTAAATAACATATTATAAAAACTTATGTAAAACTATTTGCAATAATATTTGTTAAACATTAAGATTAATGGGAGTCCAATACCGCGAAGCCATAAATACTTCCGTCTGATTGTGAACCGCAAAATATAGTGTCGGGAATATTATGTCAGTCACGTGACCGCTCAATGCGTTCTGTGTGCAAAGTAGATATAATTATAGATTAGTTTTATCAGTGCTAGCCACATTTTATTTGTAATAAATTAATTATTTGTAATAATTAAGTAAGGATTAAATATTATATAAATACTTAACTTATAACATTAATAAAATATTGTTTTAATCATATGTGTGTTTTATCCTGATATAAAATGTTATATTTTGACAAAGGTAAACATAATACTGGATAAATATAATGTATAAATAAATAATAAATATAAGTTTTGGTAATTATTTTAGTGGATAAAGAAATGATGCAAACCTTGAAATACGAGTCAGGAATCCATAATTTATGTCTCCATTTATTATCCAATACTATTCTTTGATCATGTGTTAGATTCTGGGGTAATATCCTATAATCGGACCAATACTGATGGTAAAATATATCCACAATATATGACTGATTGGCCATTATTTTCGTATTTTATATGCCGTGAATGCAAAAAAAGATGT